CGCCTGGCCGCGGCGCCGCGGCGCGGCGCTCGCGGCGCCCGCTGCGGGCGGCGGCGCTCGGCGCGCGCGCGCGGGCGGAGAGAGGAAGACACAACTAACCCCGGGAAATCTTTAAGAGCCCCGTCCCTGTACCGCACAAAAAAATGCAGGAGAGGACTTCTAGCCGAACGAGAACTGCAGCACCGTGCAGAACAGCAGAAAACAAACATGATCTACCTCCCCCCCCGAGAGGGGGCTTGTAGTAGTTTGTAGTAGTTAATAGTTAGTAGTAAGTACATAGTATTTAGTAGTTCATAGCTCGGTAGTTGTAGTAGTAGTAGTAGCAGCAGCAGCAGCAGTAGCAGTAGTACTAGTAGCAGTAGCAGTAGCAGTAGCATTAGTAGTAGTCGTAGTAGTCGTAGTAGTAGTAGTAGTAGTAGTCGTAGTAGTAGTAGTAGTAGTAGTAGTAGTAGTAGTAGTCGTAGTAGTCGTAGTAGTCGTAGTAGTAGCAGTAGTAGTAGTAGTAGTAGTAGGCGTAGTAGTAGTGGTGGTGGTAGTAGTAGTATTTAGTAGTAGTAGTAGTAGTAGTAGTAGTAGTAGTAGTAGTCGTAAAAGGAGTAGTAGTAGTAGTAGTAGTAATAATAGGAGTGGTCGCAGTAGTAGTAGTAGTGGTAGTAGTAGTAATAGTAGTAGTAGTAGTAGTAGTAGTAGTAGTAGTAGTGGTAGTAGTAGTAATGCAGTAGTAGTAGTACTAATAGTAGCAGTCGTCGTCGTGATAGTAGTAGTAAATGTAGTAGTAGTGGTAATAGTAGTAATAATAATAGAAATAGTAGTAGTAGTAGTAGTAGAAGAAGTAAAAGTAAAGTGGTAGTAGTGGTGGTAGTAGTAGTCGTCGTCGTCGTAATAGTCGTAGTAGTAGTAGTAGTCGTAGTAGTAGTAGTCGTTGTAGTAGTAGTAGTAGTAGTAGGAGGAGGAGGAGGAGGAAGAGTAGTAGTAGTATTATAGTAGCAGTAGTAGTAGTCGTAGAAGTAGTAGTAGTAGTAGTAATAAAAGTAGTCATAGAAATAGTAGTAGTAGCAGTAGTAGTAGTGGTGCTGGTAGTAGTAGTAGTAGTAGTAGTAGCAATAGAAGTAGTAGCCGAACAGGTTAATAATAGTAATGACAGTAGCAGCCGCAGTAGGAGTCGTAGTAGTAACGGAAGAAGTAAAAGTGAAAGCAGAAGTAGTAAGAGCAGTAGTAGTAGTAATGGCGGTAGTAGTAGTAGTAGAAGTAGTAGTAGTAGTAGTAGTAATAGGAGTAGGAGTGGTAGTAACGATAGTGGTAGCACTAATAAGTACAGTATTCGCAGTCGTAGTAGCAGTAGGGATAGTAGTAGTAGTAGTAGTAGTAGTAGTAGTAGTAGTAGCTGATGTAGTAGTAGCGAAGGTAAGCTTAGAAGTAGTATTATTAGTGCTAGTACAGGTAAAACGTAAAAGTAGAATAGGTGAAAGTAAAGGTGGGAGGTAGTAAAAGTAAAAGTAGTAGTAAAAGTAGAAGTAGAAGTAAAGGTAAAGTAAAAGTAAAGTAGTAGTAGTAGTAATACTAGTGGTAGTAGTAGTAGTAGTAGTAGTAGTAGTAGTGGTGGTGGTGGTGGTGGTGGTGGTGGTGGTGGTGGTGGTAGTAGTAGTAGTAGTAGTAGTAGTAGTAGTAGTATCAATAGTACCAGTAGTAGTAGTAGTAGTAGTAGTAATAGTAGTAGTAGTTATACTAGTGGTAGTAGTCGTAGTCCTAGTAGTAGTAGTAATAAAAGGAGTAGCAGAAGTAGTACTAGTACAAATACTAATACGAGTACTAGTACTAGCACCAGCACTTGTAGTACGAGCAGTAGTAGTAATAGTACAACTACTACTACTACTAGTGGCAGCAGTAGTGGGAGTAACAGCAGCAGCAGTAGTAGAAGTAGTAGTAGTACTACTACTACTACTACTACTACTACGACTATTGCTACTACTACTACTACTGCTACTATTATTACTATTACTACTACTACTACTACTACTACTACTACTACTACTACTACTACTACTACTACTACTACTACTACTACTACTACTACTACGACTACTACTACTACTACTACTACTACTACTACTGTTACTGTTACTGTTACTACTACTACTACTACTACTACTGCTGGTAGTTGTACTACTAGTAATAGAAATCGTAATACAAAAAAAAGAGTAGTAATCATAGTAAAAGAAGTCGTAGTAGTAATCGTAGTAGTAGTAGTTGTTGTTGAAGTAGTTGAAGTAGCAGTAGTAGTTGACGTATCGGTAGTATCAGCAGTAGTAGTTGTAGTAGTGGTAAGAATCGTAGTAGTCGTCGTAGTCGTTGTCGTAGTAGTAGCGTCGTAGTAATAGTCGTCGTCGTCGTAGTACTGAGTGGTGACGGAATAACGCTTCCAAGCGCGGGAACTTGTATCCGTTTGCCGAAAGAGGGGGGTCTTAAATACTTCCCAGGGTTAAGGCAAACCAGAAAGGGTCCTATGAACGAAAGGGTCCTTTGAGCATACGTTCGCACGCCCTTTTGGCCACGCGGCAACTGGGCTCGCCGACGGCGGCCCCAGGACGTACTTTTGAGAGCGCCCCCCGCTCGCATGTTGGTCTTTTCCAAGACACCCGCGCGCGCCTGGGACCCCTTTCTGGTTCCTCCCAACAACGATGGCCACGGCCGAGGCTGAGCGCGAAAACGCTGGCGTGGGTCTCGGTCCTCGTGCGTCCCGTGCATTTGGCCAGCTCGCGGATCGACCTCGCGAGTCGGCGGCGGCCGACGGAGGCGGAGTCGACGGGACCCCGCGGCACCACTGCGACGCGGGCGGAACAACGAGGGCCAGCACAGGCTGCATGCCGTCGGTGGAGCTGTCGGCCCCCGGCCGGCCGCGCCCCCTCTGGGGCGCCCGGCGGCCTCCCGAGGGGCCGGGCATGAGAGAGCGCGGTCCTCGGATCCGCTGCGCAGCCGGGCCTCTGCTCCGGGGGGGGGTGCTCCTGCATCGGGATGCGCTCTGGCAGCTGCGCCTCGCCGTGGGCGTGTCTGACAGGGGGCCACACGCGAACCCTACCCCTACCCCCCACATGATTTCTGAGGGGGAGGGTGGGGCTCACTTCGCTGGGGAGGTCCCGAGCGAAGTGAACCCCACCCTCCACGTCAGAAATAGGGAGCCCACAAAGGACGTACGCGCCCAGCTATGTACATGAACACGGCCCCTCGATCCGCGAGACCGGCCGCGTTATACGAACAATTGCGCAATGCGTACTCTCGAAACCAGCGTGGATTCATGTACATGTACGTCCTTCTTTCGCTCCTGAAGAAATCGTGTGGGGTAGGGGTAGGGTTCGCGTGTGGCCCCCTATCTGAGGTGCGCGCGCCGCCGCCAGAGGCCCGGGAAGCAAGCGTGATCGGAGGAGGGCCGGGAAGGCGACTCGGTGGGTACTCGGGGCCACCGCACGGGTTTCGGGACTTGCCGTGTGCGAAGAACACGTCCGCCAACGCGGCCTCGCGGGCCGGGCCCCTGGGCCACGACCCCGCGGCCACGGGGCGCCTTTTGTCGCCGACGCCCCCGGCGCGGCGCGTGCCCGTGCGGCCGCGTATCTCCGCGGGCTCGCGCCCCGAAGCCCGGGCCGCGAGGGCGCGGGTGCGGATACTCCAGAGTTCGTAATACAAGGGAGGGGGTCTGGACCCTCCAAGACAAGCCGTTTCAGACCTCCCCCGTGGGAGAACCCTCCAAAACATCGCCCCCAGACCCCCCAGGCCCTCCAAGATAGCCTGGAAGAGAGCCCCCCCGAAATGAGACCCCCCTCCCTCTATCACGAAATCTGGAGTACGCTCGCCGCTCGCGGCGCCTGCCGCCCCGGCCGCCGCCGCGGCGGTCGCCCCGGCCGCCCGCGCCGACAGGCGGCGCCCGGGCGGCGTCGGCGGCGCTGCCCGGGCCGGCGTGGTCTGGGCCGGCACGCGCCGGCTGGAACACCCCACGGCAAGCCGCGCGGCCGCCCGCCTATAGCGCCACCGGCACCTCCTCGAGGGGGCCGCCGGCGTGCTGCCCCCCTCTCCGGCCATGAGGCCGGCAAGCACTGCTTCACCATCGGGGAGCCCAGAGATCCAACGTATTGAAAGATCAAGACGGAGGTTTTCCTAAATTTTCGGCCTCTAGCGGCCCTCGCCGGGCCCTGGGACTGTCGAAAAACGACTCAGGATGAAAAACCGGTCCTGGGGAATAGGTCGAGACTTCCGGGGACCCCGTCCTGAAAAAATCACGACATCGGATCTCTGGGAATGTGAAGAGAACGTTCGCAGACGTGTGGATGGTTGGCTCGTCGACGTGGCCCTCCAGGCACGAGCAGAGGCAAGGCGCAGGTGGCTGTGAGAGCTCCACGAGCACGTGGGCGCTGTCCTTCACGGTGGCGAAAGTCTGCAAACCGGGCCAACCCCTGTGAATCGAGCAACAAGTTCCCGTCGTGAAAGTCGTTTTGTGCCAGGCCACAGACTAACTTGTCGGTCACACTTGTTATTGAATAACTGCCAGAATCCCGCCAACTCTGGGAAGAAATGCTTCATTTGGAGAACGCTTGCCACGAAATCCTTTGACGAACACAAGCATGAATGGGCGGACTGAAGAATCTGGCACCCAGGGCAGATTCTTCTTGCTGCGTTTCGCACCCTCCGCGTCACGATTGAGGACTCAGTGGAGGACGAAGCGGACACGCTTGCACATCTTGGCTAGTTCTCCCTCCTCACAGATCGCGTGGACATTGTGAAATCGAACATGGACCGTGAGAGGGCCTCGTTGACGATGGGCACTGCATTAACCTGGCGCTCTCTAGAATTCAACTCACCCTGCATCACTGACGCAAAGGTGAGCAGAAGTGGAGCATAAGCGAACTCGGGAAGACCGAATACAACACCGTAGAGACCGACCTGCATCACAGCGCAAGGTTCGTCTTCAGTGGCCTCTTCCACAAACTGAGAATCCTTAACCTTCGGAGTTGTCAGGCCAAACAGCTTCCCGTACTGCTTGGCTAGAGGAAGAAAAACATACATGAACATAAACTTTCGACGGCCCGCGCGGATTTCTTGGATTTGCGCTGGGCCCCCCTCCCTGGCGGCGCCGGAGGCGCCGGGGAGGCGCCGCCAGGGGGCCCCAACGCAGGTCCAAGAAACCCGCGCGGAGCGTCGAAAGAGTATGTTTTGTGTGTTTTTGTTCCTCTCCGATTGGCCAGATCGGTATCCTCCTTCACGTGCGCCGCGACACCACACTTGAGCGCTGACGACTGCATGGGTCTGCCGTCCTCCCGGCAGGGGTGAATGGAAGCACGCGGGCGCCCCCGCCGAAACTGGCAGAGAGACTTGCTTGAGCTCCAGCCGTGAATGCCGACGCGCCTCCTGGAGGCATGGCTAGGGGGGCCGCATGCGAACCCTCCCCCTACCCCCCACGATTTCTGAGGGGGAGGGTGGGGTTCACTTCGCTCGGGAGCTCCCGAGCGAAGTGAACCCCACCCTCCACGTCAGAAATCGTGGGCGGGAGGGAGAGGGTTCGCATGCGGCCCCCTGTTAGCAAGACACGTCTCCGGTTTGCGCTCCGCTTGCCTTGGTCTGCCTGCAGCAGAACCTCCTCGTCACTCGTCTGACACCTGCTCAGTCTGCGCCTCATCACCGTCTTCATCAGGAACGTTATCGCCCGCCAGCGCCGCTTCACTTGCAGCTTTCCGCTCCACGGACTCACTCCCAAGACCTGTCTTCCAGAACGTCTGGCAGGCCCACATTCGCCTGCCAACCAGGGAGCAAACCAGTTACCAGACGTCGAAGCAGTCGACGCGCCAAATGCGCGCCAAGCCGTGAGCCGCGCCAAACGCCTGTCGCGACGAAACGGGGAAAATGATCGTGGTCCTCGTCTGCAACTTCACGTTTCAGCACCAGGCCTTTGCACGCTTTCTGGTGAGCTGCAACGCGCGCTGCCCTCGCATCAATAGATTCTTCTTTCATGGGGGCGACGATCAAAAACGGGTCGTACGCGAGATGACGTAGCAATTTTACGCAGCGGCTTACGCGGGCCGCCAGCGCGGCACGCCACTCTGGAGACGAGGGCGCTGACGCGCGACCTCACGCGGCATCTCACGCGCGAACGTCGGCGTCCACGACCCAACTTTTCTGCGTCGCCCATGTGTTTGGTTGACCCAAAAGGGGGTCCAGCTAAAAGGGGGTGGTGCAATAGGTTTGGGGCAACTGTATTGCAAACGTACTGCTCCCGGGAACTGGACTGCACTGTACCGCCACTGACGCACTGCTCGCGAAAGCCCAGCAGTGCACCTGCGCACCGGAAGGCACCCGCACGCCCCAGGAGTGCACGCGCTGCAAGCCCCCGAAGCGGCCGCACCAGACCACCTCTGCTGCACCACTCCCCTGTCGCTGGACCCCCTCTGGGGCCAACAAGCCTGTGGAGCCCCATCGCCGAGAGGCAGGCCCTCTGAGAGCCTGCCCCGCTGCGCGGCGCGGCGGCCCTCGGCGAGCACGCCCTCCGCGGCCGTACCCGGCGAGCGGCCGCGACCGGCGGCGGGCACCCCTCGGGGCCCCTCTCCCGCTCCTGGCGGGCGAGCCCTCGCGGCTGCTCCGCGGCCGCGCACCGCGGCCTCCCGCGCGGCCGCGGGGCGGCTGCCTCCAGATCCTGAGGGGGAGGGGCGGGGAGGCACGCGGCGACCCGCCCCCCATCTCCCTCCCTCCCTCCCTCCCTCGCCCCTCCGGCCCCTCCTCTCCGTCCCTCCCCGCACCCCGTCCAGACTCCTGCCTCCCTCCCTCCCTCCCTCCCTCCCTCCCTCCCTCTCCCTCCGGCAGCTCCACGCTGCAAGGATGGATGGCGGGAGGCGTGCACAACGTAGCACTCGCCTTCTTGCCGCCGTTCACAGTCGTTTCAAAAGCTTGCAGCGGTTACACGGACGGAAGGCGGGAGGGGTGCACAAAGCAACACTGGCCTTACCGCAGCACGTGTTCGTCCTAAAGGCTTGCAGCGGATGAACGAATGGAAAGCAGGAGGTGTTCAAACTGCGACACTCGCCTTCCCGCCGCACACAATCGTCTCAAAAGCTTGCAGCGGTTGCACAGCGGGCGGGAGGAATACAAACGCCGTACCCCCGCGCACAGTTGTCTCAAAATCTTGCAGCGGTGGTGGTACGGATGTAGGGCGGGTGGTGTCCAAAGTGTGGCACTCGCCTCATCGCCGCGCATCTTTACTCTGGAAGACAACAGCAATGAGGATACAGGGCGGTCCCTTTCCAATACGGAGATCTCGATTGATACTTCCTCAAACTCCAGGACTTACCTATAAATGTGTACGACAGTTACGCGGATGCAAAGCTGCTCTTGTTCAAAATTGGGCTCGCGTTTGACAAGGCCTCCGCTTCTACCACATCGAATCAGAGGCCCGAATGCTTGAAGGGATGGACGGCGCTTCGGCCCCCATCCGTGGCTGTCGCTGGGAGTGGGTCCTGGAGCTGAGTGGCCATCAGAGGTGTACAGAAGTCTGATGCAAAGATTGGCATGCCAAACTTACGCGCGACGGGAGCAACGTGGTCCCTCGTTCTGAAACGGGCCCTCGCTCGCATGGCAGGCCCGCGAGGCGCTCGTCCTTCCGCGGGCGCTCCTCCCGCAGTGGAAGGACGCAGTGTCTGCACGTGCGCACAGGGGCACTGTCGCAACACCGTCGACGCATCCTGGAGCTACGAGGCGTCCTTCAGTTGCCGCACCTGCACCCCCTGGGCCGGCACGTCGTGGAACCACTTAGAGACGGCTCGTCCACTCCTCTTCCTCCTAGTCCTCCTCCTCCTCCTCCTCCTCCTCCTCCTCCTCCTCCTCCTCCTCCTCCTCTTCCTCCTCCACATGCTCCTCCTCCTCCCCCCCCCCATCATGGCCGGGATGGTTTCGAGACAAGCAGCTTCACGACAAGGAAGAGACAGATTCACGACAAGCAAACTCACGTTCGCCACCCATTCGCCGCCCACTTTCGCCACCCACTTTCGCCGCCCACTTTCGCCGCCCACTCCACTTCGCCGCGCCACCCACTTTCGCCACCCACTTTCGCCACCCACTTCGCCACCCACTTTTTCGCCACCCACTTTCGCCGCCCACTTTCGCCACCCACTTTCGCCGCCCACTTTCGCCACCCACTTTCGCCACCCACTTTCGCCACCACTTTCGCCACTTTCGCCACCCACTTTCGCCGCCACCCACTTTCGCCGCCCACTTTCGCCACCCACTTTCGCCACCCACTTTCGCACCCACCCACTTTCGCCGCCCACTTTCGTCACCCACTTTTGCCGTCCACTTTCGCCACCCACTTTGTGGTGGCGAACGAAAGTGGGTGGCGAACGAAAGTGTGGCGAACGAAAGTGGGTGGCGAACGAAAGTGGGTGGCGAACGAAAGTGTGGCGAACGAAAGTGGGTGGCGAACGAAAGTTGGGGGCGAACGAAAGTACTTTCGCAACGAAAGTGCGCGGCGAACGAAAGTGGGTGGCAAACGAAAGTGGGTGGCGAACGAAAGTGGGTGGCGAACGAAAGTGGGTGGCGAGCGAAAGTGGGTGGCGAACGAAAGTGGATGGCGAACGAAAGTGGGTGGCGAACGAAAGTGGGTGGCGAACGAAAGTGGGTGGCGAACGAAAGTTGGGGGCGAACGAAAGTGGGTGGCGAACGAAAGTGGGTGGCGAACGAAAGTGGGTGGCGAACGAAAGTGGGTGGCGAACGAAAGTGGGTGGCGAAAGTGGGCGGCGAAAGTGGGTGGCGAAAGTGGGCGGCGAAAGTGGGGCGAAAGCGTGGGCGGCGAAAGTGGGCGGCGAAAGTGGGTGGCGTGGCGAAAGTGGGTGGCGAAAGTGGGCGGCGAAAGTGGGTGACGGCGAAAGTGGGCGGCGAAAGTGGGCGGCGAAAGTGGGTGGCGAAAGTGGGCGGCGAAAGTGGGTGGCGAAATTGCTTGTTTCTTGTCGTGAAGAAGCCGTGCCTTGTCGTGTTTCAGATTTCTCTTGTCGTGTTTCAGTTTTACTAGTCGTGAGAACACCCGAGTTTTCCCCCCCCCTCCTCCTCCTCCTCCTCCTCCTCCTCCTCCTCTCTCCTCCTCCTCCCCCTCCTCCTCCTCCTCCTCCTCTCCTCCTCCTCCTCCTCCTCCTCCTCCTCCTCCTCCTCCTCCTTTTCCTTTCCTCCTTCCTCCTCCTCCTCCCTCCTCCTCCTCCTCCTCCTCTCCTCCTCCTCTCCTCCTCCTCCTCCTCCTCCTCCTCCTCCTCCTCCTCCTCCTCCTCTTCCTCCTCCTCCTCCTCCATCGTGCCCCTTCCCCTCCAGAACGGCGCCGGGGAAAACCGAGGGCCGCCCAGAGGGCCGCCCGGAGGGGCCGCAGGCCTCCGCGCAGGCCGCCCGAGGGACGCAAGCAGACCGCCGCAGGCCGCAGGGGCCGCCCCCGGAGGGGTCGCCCGTCCTCGGTGGCGGAGCTGCTGGGGCTGCTCGGCGGTCAGAGCGTGCGGTTCGTGGCCTCGGGGCGGGGGCGGCCGCCGAGGGGAGAGGAAGCGGGGCGCAGCGGAGCGAGCGCCCGAGTCGCGCGCGCTCCCCTGGGGAGCTCTCGCCTGTGCCCCGCGGGGCGCGGCGTGGAGGCCGCAGCCTCGACGGGGAAGCACTTCGGTTCGAGCTGGTGGAGCAACAAGCCCGCTCCTGGGGCCCGGGAGGCCCGGGGACGCAGTTGCGCATTTGACCGTGGGCCCCCTGCTGCAGGGCTGAACCGAGACGGTGTTTTTCGGCCCTGCCTTGCCTTGCCTAAACCTAACGTTTAGGTCCAGCCCTGCCTTGCTGCCCACCGGGCCTGGGCCGTCCTCGGCGGTCCTCGGCGCGTTTCCGGCGGTCTTCGGCGGATTCCAGCGGACTTCGGCGCGAAAGCTGGATGGCTGTGTCGGAAAAGCGGGTCCATGATCGACCACCTTCCAGCGGCGCCTTCGGGCTGCGCTGCTTCGCCCACTGCGCCGTCGGCGCCGCCGTCTGGCGGCGGCGGCAGCAGCACCGGCAGAGGCATCGGCGTTGGCGTCCGTCATCCTCCTCCTGCGCCTCCATCCTCATCCTATTACCGATTACCGAGCTTAGCCCGAATCGACCTGAGGCCCTACTCGAACAGTTCAACAACAAAAAAAAACAAAAAAACAAAAAAACAAAAAAAAAAAAAAAAAAAAAAGGTCTCCAAGCTCCTTGAAAAGCCAAGTACAACCGAGGCGGGGTGGGGGTTGTTAAATTAGAGGCTGTCGGATCATATCGAACGGGCCACGGGGGAGAGAGCTCATGTCCTGACCCGCCTGGTAAAATGCCCCTTCGGATCTTCGAAAAATCCTTCAGAGAGGAGGCGCAGGCCTGGCACGGGCCTAGAAGCCGATTCGCTCGACCACCTGCCATGCATCCGCACCTCACGCAGAAAAGCAGCGGGAACTGCGTCTCTTCATTCATAGAAACCCACAAGGCATGAGAGAAAGTTGCTTCCGAAGCTCTCTGGACCAGGTCAGACAACGACGGCGGAAAAGAAACACATCTCGAGTTCGCAAGCAAATTAACCCCTCTGCGATGGCACTGCGCACATCGCCAACATCCTGCAGCCTGATCCCATACTGGGGTGCGGGGCTTCGGAGGGAGGGGGCAAGCCACCGATCTGGAGATTCTCGGCACCACCCCAAAGAGTTCTCGAAGGGGGGGCCACAGAACTAAAATCTGGCACATGTTAAAGGCTACCTGCTTATATAATTTTCGAGCATCCTTAAAGGCCTTCAGGTCCGCGCAGCACAAATTGTTGCCCCACGCTGCCTGCTTGGCTGCGCGGTCCGCCCAAGCATTGCCCTCGATGTGGCACGGCTCGAGCTCCGACCTCGCATCCTGCTCCTTCAAATGGGCTTTAACCATCAAGCAAACATACGTCGGGCGGCCAGCAATTCGCCAGTGTCCAGCGTGAGGCGACGAGTGTTTCTTGGCTTGGAAGTAATGGCCAGCCCCCCAAACTACAGCTTGGCAATCTGAATGCAACACCGTTTCAAAGCTTGCAACTACAAGCGGGGGGCGGGGTTCTGAGACCAAGGGGGGCAGGTGCTTCTGAAACATACAGGCAGCGTGGTGCTCAGCCGCTGCAGCTGTCGGTGGGGCCCCGTCAGGAACGGGCCCTCGAATGCCCCTAATAAGATCCCCAGACTCAGAGCACTCTACAACCGCCCACCCCGCTCTCGCAACAAAAGGCACGGCACCATCGAAGCACGAGCCATCACTATAGCGCCGAAACCCTGAGCGTTGGAACAAAAAAAGCCCAATAAAGCCACTCGCATCGAAGTAGAAGATTCCTGGATCCTCCACGGGCCTGCTTGTTGTCTCGGGGGAGGGCATCCAAAGGGAGGCAAAGAGAGGATCCGCAGGCCCGTGGTGGAGCGCCATTGCCAGAATTTCTTCATCCTGACCTTCACGAGCGGCCTCGCACCAGGGACATTCCCAGGCCCCGTGGAAGATGGAATCTGGAGCTCCACATCTGGGGCAGAGCCCATCTGTCTCAAACCCCCACTGCTTCAAAGTCAGGCCTGTGGGATACTTGTTCCACAATCCGCTTATAATTCTTGGGGAACGACTTACTTGCCAGAAGCCTGCGCGGGCCCAGGGACCAAAGGCCTCGGTCTCGAATCTCCTGAGCCCTCGGGTACGACGTCTGCGCAAGGGCCCTAAAAACCGCTGGCGTTATCAACTGCTTTTTTTAACCATTGAGTAGCTCTTTGGCTACAAGGGCTGGGGGGGGGGGGGGGGAGAGGTGGCGGTCAGATGATGTTGCGCCCCGTCAGCACCGAGGAACACCGACGGGGTGAGCTGCCCCCAGCCTGCCCCCCTCAACCACAGGTGCATGTCGGACAAGGGGCCCGAGACCTTGCGCATCCATGAAGAAGCCCTCGGTAGTATTTCCTATGTCTGCTGCGTGAGTTGGAATACTCGCGTGAGCTCATCTTCAGCGAGCCCATCTGCTCGAAGCACATCGGGGCCCGAGGCTTGCCGCCATTCTTTCGCATATCGTTTGAGCGTATCAACAGCTCTCGCAACTGGGTCTCTATCTGGATATAAAGACCATGCTATGTCTAAGGCGCCACCTGCAATCCCAAGGGCACGAGCTCCTGCCTGTCGTAGTCCTTTTATATCAGTAGGCGACCAGCCCAAGACCTCTCCCCCATACGTCGCAGACGCCTGGATGCCAGAGAAGTAAACTCGCGCTCGTTTATGTGTAGGACCTTTCATATTCCTAAGACGTCGAAGGCGAGGCTTAATCGTTTTCATGCGTTTGCGGCGAACACGACCATGACCAGGCTGTCTTCTATGCCGTCCTGGTGCATAGTCAACCCCACGATTTCGCACAGCAGTCTCTGGGCGGCCTGCTAGCTGCCCCAAAGCGGCCAAACACGCATCTGTTATCGCTGTAGAAGAACCCGCGCAGCATAGTTTCTGTTCTGCCAAAGGCACACCAAGAACTTTATCCACCAATATCGCCAAAGAGGTTGCTCGATCATACATTGCCTGCACACATGCGTGGAAGCCTTCGGCTCCCATGCTTAGGCCCAAGTCATCAATGTGCACTGTCAGTGTAGCCAAACCCACATCAGGTAGCTGCTCCTCCGCTGTTCCCTGGCGCCAGAAGTTGACAACAGGGGTGACAAACATTCTCGCTTCATATGTGGCCGTCGTCGCGCCTGCAATAATACCTCTCCCAGCAAATATTTGGCCGGTAACAAGGCCATCAAGAGATATACGCCTCGGCCATATGCAAGTATTCAGGGAGCATTGAATCACTGATATTGGATACTGCATATGAGAGGCCGTCTCAAACAACCTACCATGACATACATGTTCGTAAAATTGTTTCAGGTCATATAATACAGATAGTAAATGATATCCGTCTTCAGCAAGAGCCTCTCCACGCGCAGCCTGACGCCACACCGCATCAAGGGGTCCACGACCTGGCGGCATGCTGAATGATGATGTTGACCTTCCTCTCGCTCCCACTCTTTCGCCTACCATGCCATTGTTTTCCCATGCAATCGCACAGTACTGGTGAAGAACCCGATGGGTCGTCTACCTGACCTTGGCTTTCTGAAGAGTTGGTGAATAACCTGCTGCAGATTGCTGGGCGCATTCGAAATCATATTCATCCTTGTGAAGGCCCCTGCGAGAGCTGATAGTGCAGGAGCGCACAGAAGGGAAAAATGGCGCGGGTGTATCACGTCAACTGCGACGGTTCTAGCTTTGAACTTCTTTGAGATTCTTCTCAGGATCTGCGGGTCCACTCTGGGTGGTGCGGTCACTGCTGTCTCCAGAAAAGGGCTGGGTACATATTGCGCCTGCCATGCTTCTTTCCACAGGATCTCCTGCCGTTCAAGAATGCCATCCAAGGAGGCTATCATGGTACCATCTTTACGTGTGCATGTCTCTTCTACATAAAACTGGGGCAGCCGCGCATATGCACGTGCCCCTCCAGCTCCCCCCTCAAGCGCACCTTCACACCATGCAGCCCACTCATCCTTCTGTTTCTTCTTGGCTGCGCTGACCTGCTGCTTCTCTGCGAGGCCAAGGAGGTCGATCCATGCAGAAACATCTTCTTCCAGCGGCATGTCTGGACATTGACCATCCTGAATGAAACGATTGAAAGATAATCTCGGGTAAACTGCCAAGACTGACCAGCCAAGCCAATATGCGTACGGAGAGGGCCGCCTCGACGTTGTAGTCGCAATGTTTTATTCAAGAGATTCCAATAATAGTCTCCATAGCCTCCGGAGGAAGTAACCTGTCGGCGTAGGAATCTGAACTCTTGGAGACGTGACCTCATCCAGTGGGGCGCCATGCCTGGAAGAGGCCAGCTGTTTTCTTTCGTCACCAGGCTTTGCCGAAGGGGTCGCTTTGCGGCCCTAATCGGGGCCCCACCTGGGACTTGCTTGGGACGGGGTGATGTCTGAGTGACTTGTTGGAGTTCTGCCCACGCTTTTGACACCCACCCCGCGTAGATGCTGTCGAGGAGGTTATGTGCATCTGTCCTCTGTTGGCCCACAACACTGCTGATATCTCCATGTACGTCAGTGTGTTGGGCGATGTAGTCATCAACCTGGGCGTCGATCCTGTCGTAGTCTGGGGGCTCCATGGACGGACCGCTTCCTGGTAATGTTGGAAGGGTAGCATGTCGTACAAGAACCTGAACCTGGATGTCTTTCGTGGCTCGTCGTAGACGAGCCCCTACTGGTCGATGGGGTCCTGGTAGTACTGGATTATTCTACTGCGGCATCATCTGTTAGGATATCTAAAGCTCTGGTGCTCAGGTAGTAGTCAATATTGCTGGAACCTTGACCCCATCATATATATATATATATACATGTGACGGCGTATTCGGAACAAAGCGAAAAGCTCCATGAAGTATGTCCATGTGTAAACCTGAACTCAATTCACCTGGTTCCATATTCCAATCACCTCCAGCTATATATGGTATACCTCGATCAAGGATATGTTCACCCAGAGTCTGGATGACCGCTGAGTTCACTCCATTCACCTTGATGCTGTCCTGCATGTACACGCTGTATATACTGATGAGGCCAAGATCTTGTGTGCGCATATAGCAGCGTGCTAAGTGTCGTGCAATCACTGACGCTCCATGACGTGGGCAGCACCAGGCATCTAGGTATCGACGCACCAAAACACATGCACCACCACATGCATTATTCTGTTCACTGAAGCTGGGCTGACCCCAAAAACTGCGCCATCCCATCCCAAGAAGTTGATGTTGCTGGTCCTTCTGCTGGGGGAATGTGAGCTTGTGTTCCTGGATCAGAACAATCTGGGCTGACGTATTCTTGACATAATTCACAGCTGTCCGCCAGCTGTTGCCGTTGTATGTCACTATCTGAAGATCCTTGGCTGTCTTGGAGCGGGCATTTTTCGTCCGAGTCACCTTCTCACAGCCAGCTGTCCCTGGCCCGTATGGGCCTTCAGTCCTCATGTTATCCAGCTGCCTCCCACTCATGGTGCGGGTGGCGAAAGGAATCTGAACTCGCTGCAAGGCGGGCCTTCTTGATAGTACGAAAGGCTTCGATGAGGTTGCGTTTGTCTGCTTCAGAAGCTCCAGTTTGACGAAAAGCCCCAAGTAGCTCCTCCTCATCCACCTCCATCTGTTTAACCGCTGCGTTAACTTCAGGGTGTGATGCAGCTGCCGCTGAAACTGCCGCTGCTCCTGCACCATCACCACCTCCGTCTTCGAATAATCCTCCTTCATCTCCTCCACCCCCAACTTCCTGAGCACGACGACCAGCCATAACGACGGGGACATCGGCTGCATATGGAGGCGGGGCAACAATACTCTTAACCTTTTGTGAATTGGTGTTGCAGCACCGCCCTCGCCTGCTCGTTGGGGATGTTTGGCACCAGTTGCTCCAAAGATGAGAGGAGCTCGGAGAGAGAATTGAGCAACTCCTGGGGCGCCGCGGGGGCCAGGTCACTGGCCCTCCTGAGTTCCTCCAAGTATCCTTTTTCTTTCTGTAGTTGGTCCTCGATATCAACAACTTCATCTTGCATATCCTCAATCTTTTGCAACAGGGAGTCGCGGTGGGCCCTGATCCTGGAAATGGTTGCCTCTTTCTGACCCACATCCTGCTCAACTTTCTGAAGCAAAACGGCTGGCAGGAGTAGCGTCTCTCTTTGCCTTCTGTTGGGTTCCCCATGCTGCAGCCAAGGTTTTAGCCACATCTGGGGGATAGGGAGTGTTGGGGCCCTGGGAGATCTGGAAAACGCGGTGAAGGTCATTGTGTGCATCTCGACCCACATCACGGCGGGGCTCACGACCTCCTCGCCCTCCTCCTCCTCCAGGAAGATCCCTTCCCTTCCCAGGCCCTCCTTTGCCGACTTTGGTCTTTCCACCCTAACCACAGTTTGCCTTCCAAACTCCTTGTCGGCTTCCATCATTGTTACCTCCTGCCCACACACCTTTCGGGGAAGTAGCGGGAAACTGCCGTCCCCTCCTCCCCGCCCGCCCCCACCCACCTCCGCGCCCTTCGCCCTCCCTCCCTGCCCCCCACCTCCCCCCTCCTCCTGCGACCCGGGCCTGGTCCAGGCGCTCGCGCATGGGCCCCTCGAACACCTTCGCGAGGATGCCGTACTGGTCGACCTGGCGGGCGCCACCGCTCGCGCGCGACGGGGCACCGCTGGCGGGCCGCGGCGGGGACAGCGCGGCGGGTCGCGGCGTGGGGGCCGCCGCGGCGCCCTCCTTAGGCTCCCTTCCTCCCTCCCTCCCTCCCTCCCTCCCTCCCTCCTCCCTCCTTCCTCCTCCTCCTCCTCCTCCTCCTCCTCCTCCTCCTCCTCCTCCTCCTCCTCCTCCTCCTCCTCCTCCTCCTCCTCCTCCTCCTCCTCCTCCTCCTCCTCCTCCTCCTCCTCCTCCTCCTCCTCCTCCTCCTCCTCCTCTCCTCCTCCTCCCTCCCTCCTCCTCCCTCCTCCTCCTCCTCCTCCTCCTCCTCCTCCTCCTCCTCCTCCTCCTCCTCCTCCTCCTCCTCCTCCTCCTCCTCCTCCTCCTCCTCCTCCTCCTCCTCCTCCTCCTCCTCCTCCTCCTCCTCCTCCTCCTCCTCCTCCTCCTCCTCCTCCTCCTCCTCCTCCCTCCTCCTCCTCCTCCTCCTCCTCCTCCTCCTCCTCCTCAACCTTTCCTCCCTCCTCCTCCAGTCAGTCCTCCTCCTCCTCCTCCTCCTCCTCTCCTCCTCCTCCTCCTCCTCCTCCTCCTCCTTCGGCCTTTCCCTCTCCTTTTCCCTCCCGTCAGCACTCCTCATCATCCTCCTCCTCCTCCTCCTCCTCCTCCTCCTCCTCCTCCTCCTCCTCGTCCTCTCCTCCTCCTCCTCCTCCTCCTCCTCCTCGTCCTCCTCCTCCTTTTCCTTCAACCTTTCCCCCCCCTTCTCCCTCCCGTCAGTCCTCCTCCTCCTCTCCTCCCTCCTCCTCCTCCTCCTCCTCCTCCTCCTCCTCCTCTTCGTCCTCCTCCTCCTCATTTTTTTCCTCCGCCTCCTCCTCCTTCTCGTACCTAACTCCTCCCTGTCGCACCCCGAGGCGTGTCGGTAGGGCGAACCTGGCGTGTCGCCCAACACTTCTTTACCGCGTATGATTATGTTGCTTAAAAATCCCACCATCGAGGGCGCGTATGTTTCCAAATGCGTTTCCCGTTTTAGCGCCATGCGCACTCGTCATTAAAATGTACAAGGGCTTCACGGATGGAGGGCGGATTATGTTCTCGAAATCTGGCTCACGCCGTAGCTCCACACACTTCCATCCCAAAAGTTTACATGGGTGTCACGGATTGAGGGCGTGTCGGTTTCAAAATGTGGCCCTCGCCCCTGGGCCGCCCGCATTCATCATACGCGAAGGTTCGCTAGAACTTCACAGATGGAGGGCGGGTCGGTTTCACAATGTGTATTTCGCATGAGCACCACGCACATTTGCTGTAAAAGGAGGCAAACAGTTTCATGGATGGAGGACAAATCCTGTTCAAAATGTGACTCTCGCCTTGGCGCCGTGCACATTCGTTGTGAAAAGTTGCCCGACCTTCACGGATAGAGGGCGGGTCGGTTTCAAATGTGGCTCTCGCCTTAGCGCCATGCACAGTAAAGGGAAGCAAAAAGATTCACGGATGGATGTCGGTTCCTTTTCAAGATGCGGTTCTAGCCCAAGCGCCGCGCACATTCGTCATAAAAGTGTGCAACGACTTCACGGATGGAGGGCGGGTTGTTTTCAAAATGTGGTTGTCGCCCCAGCGCCGCGCACATTCGCCTTATCGTCTTCAAAATTTGCAAGAGCTTCCCTGATGAAGGCGGGTCGTTTTCAAAATGTGGTTCTCGCTTTGGCGCACGGCACATTCGCGTGAACAAATTTACAATAGCTTCACGGGTTATTATAGTTGACGCCTCAGAAATGGTTTTCTGGCACGATGCCGGATTGTCAGGGCGCAAGAGTCACGTCGATGCGCGGCGCTTACGTCCCAGGAACGGTGTTCTGGCACGATTCAGGATCGCCAGGGCGCAACCTGACAGTTGATTCGCGGCGTTGAAATCCAAGGAGTGGTACTTTGGTACAATCGGAGATTCTGAGAAGGGTGTTCTCCAAAGGGGCATTTCCAGCAGTAGAAGAAAAAACCCTCGCATGGACCGGTGGACAGAAACTTGGCAGGCGGGTTGAGTACAACATCGCTGATGCACCTTGGACTTACACTGGTCCTCCCTCCTCCTCCCTTCTTCTCCTCTCCCTCCCTCATCCCTGGCTCAAGTCCTGATCACACCGATGGAGGTGCGGAAAGACGCATTGCCGTCCAGGGAAGGCCCTGGGCGCTGGGGCTCGAGCAGGCCCCCCGCGGCCTTGTCGGCACCACGATCACGAAGTCCGCCGTCGCCCCCTTGCGCGCGCCCGCGAGGCGCAGGGTTCACAAGTCGCGATGGCCAAGCAGCAGAAGTTGATCACGTGCAATCGCCGCGGCCGTAGAGGCTGGGTTTGGTGTTCTACTGGTGCTAAGCATTGTGCTCAATGCGGTGGCCGTTTCAAGCAGCAGCAGCATGACCAGTCTGGAGGCACCCGCGGCAGTGCCGCCAGCAACCTCGGTGCCGCGGGCAAGGCAGGACCAGGTCTCCACCCTCCGCCTGAGCCGCACCGTGGCAAGCCTGACCGCCGGCGTGGACGCGACCGCTCTCGGGGGCCCAGTCACCCCCCAGGTCCCCGACGGCCAGGCGCAGTCTCGTTCGCAGAAGGAGATGAACCGCAGCCACAAGCAGAAGATCCAGTGGATTTGGCGCAGGCGCAGGTCACATTCTGGAAGAAGTGGAAGCCCAACGGCGAGGAGCACACCACGGCGCTGGGCAAGCTCAAGCAGGCCAAGGCATCAAGCTTAGCTTCGAAGTCGCTGGACCAGCAGGCACAATCTCTCTCGGACCAGTTGGAAACCCAACGCCAGAAGTACGCATCACAAACATCGGAACTCAAGCAGCTCTTTGACGTCATCCTGGACGCCAGCGATAGGCACTCCAAGCTCGTCACGGAGGCCAAAAGCACGCAGCAGGAGACCCAGAACCTCGAGAGCCAGCACAACATGGCCAAGCAGGCTGCCACGCAGGCGGCCACCAAGGCGAGGACCTATTATCGACCTTGCAGGGGGTTCTTGCAGCGCGCATGCCGCCCGGCAGCAGGGCGCCGCCCGACCTCTGCTCGAAGGTGGCAGAGCTCGCGACCTCTTTCGACGACCTCGCGACTCGGCACGCGCAGTCCCAGGTGGCCGCGCCGAGGCCGTGGGCGGACAACGGCTTCCCGAGCGTCGGCGAGGCCCCCGAGGGAGAGCCCGCTGCCGCAGGCGATGCCGCCGGCGGCGACGCGCCGCCGACGCAGCCCACCGGCGCCGCCGCGGCGGCGGGCGCTGCGGCCACAGGCGAGAACGCGCAGTGCCCGAACGACGCGGAGCTCGACACGGGAGCAGACGAGACGGACCAGACCAAGTCCCTGGTGCGCGCGGCGTCGGCCCTCCAGGCCGCCGCCAGCGGCATGGCCGAGATCCAGGGCCAGGAGGGCCCCGAGGCCAAGCGGGCCAAGGCGGCGGCAGCAGCAGCAGTGGCAGCAGCAACGGGGACTGCTGGGGCGGCATCAGAATCTTCACCGCCGTCTTCACCGCCGTCTCTTTGACAACGCCTACGCGTTCGCCACGATCGACGGATCGCGCTGGGGGGAGTGAAAAGCGTAGTAGAGTCCAGCACTGCACGCAATTTAACTTTCATCTGCGCTCAGGAGCGCAGGCTCGAAGCAGGGGGCTTCGCCGGCCCAACGGGCCAGAGGCGTGCTAAGATCTCCGGTAACTTGTTAACAATATGTCTAGTTCGCGCGCGCGGAGCGGCCCCTGGGGGCCCCCGGACGAAAAGTACCCCGGCAAGGTCCCGAGAGAAGCCCGGGAGAAGCCACCAGACCACTCCAGGGGAGGGTATTTTTCGACACCCCTCACGAGGATCGTGGCCTCCGAGGGGGGAGCCGCAATCGACTACCCCCAAGAGCCCCCCAAGAGGCCCTGGGGGCCTCCAAAACGCCGCCAAGGAGCCCCAAGAGACTCCCAAGAGGTCCCCAAGAGGCCCCCAAGAGGCCCCCAAGAGGCCCTAAAGAGGGCTCCAGGGCCGGCGGCATGAGCGAAGCGATTAAATTTAACTTTCATCTGCGCTCAGGAGTGCAGGCTCGAAGCAGGGGGCAGTATCATTCGTCAGATACAATGGTGATTCGCACGAGGCCGGCTTGCTCGCATTTCGCCTGCCGCCCGCAGCCCCTCGGGTGAACTTCTCTCGGGGGTGGCGGTTTTAGTTCGGGATGGCTTGGACCTCGGGGCCCAGCCGCTGCAATTTCCTCCGGGGACTGACAGCCCCAGACTCGCTGGAGTTGTCGTCGAAGCGCCAGGGGCCCCAGCTTTCGGTCTGATGAGCGCTTATTGTCAGGCATCCTCGGGTCTCAATGAGACCACTTTCATCTGCTGGCCACCATCGGCCAGACCCAAGATCTAGCAGGCAAGCCTCTCATTGTTGCAAGCGCTTTCAATCCGCAACCAGATAGGCTTCAGCAGGGCAAGTATTTCCTCACGCGCGCCACGATGAGGGCAGCGGCGCCCAAAGCCGCCACCTACCGCACTAAGAGAACGAAGTCGACCCTCGATTTCTTGATCCACAGCCCAGCCTTGGGGCCCTGGCTGGAACTTCCCTGCACCTTGACCTCCTACCCCTTGGCCCCCCACCGCCCTGTTACCATGGCCCTGCGCGCGCAGGATAATTTCAAGATGCCGACGCTCCTCGGGCCCAAGAAGCCCCCCGCTAGGACGCCCATTGGACCTCAGCTCCCGTCGGTCAGTGGGCATCAGACAGCTGCAATGATAGAGTATGCCATCCAACTTCTTGGAGTTGCCTCGCAGCCCCTCCCCGACCAGCAGCGCCCCACCATCCTGGACCACGTGCACTTCGCCCTCGCCCAGGACCTTGAGCACACACTCAGCGTGAAAACGGACACCCCCATCAGACCTAGCAAGACTCCCAGGGACCCCCCCCCACCCACACACACACACACACACCAGATCCACATGGTCTCGGCGAGTGCGAAGTGTTCCCAAGGGCGCAAGTGCTGGACGGT